TTCCAGTATTTTGCATAGGATTTCCGACATGCTTAAAATTTCAATTCCGACAAATTTATTTCTATTTCCGACATTTTTTGTATTTCTTGGATATCTGAAGGATCACTTTCTGACAATTTTTTTGCTTGCCAAACAGCTGGAAATAAAATTTTAAATAAATTTATTTCATGTTCAAAAAATAAAAACATATTTATAATTCAATACATACTTATACAAGTTGCAATAATACTTATATTTATTTAATATCTTTCCCTGTGCTACATGTACAGGCATAATTGAATTGTGATGTCTTCGTATTAAAAACATTCTACTGTCTGTTGAGAATTCCTTCAACGATGATTGTTTTTTCCTATGGCTGTGTAAGAAGCGGGGGGGGGGGGGGACTGAAAATATTAGGTTGTAACACCCACCCCATCCCCGATATTGCTTACTAAGGGTCTGTATTTACCAGAAGTAGTTTCTGTATGCCTTTTAATTTCAATCCTTGCATATCTGAGTTCAAACTTAAAACTGCACTTTAAAAAGGAGATGTGCCTCTGAGAATTTCAGGCCACCCGAGTCTTTCAGGTGACCTATTGCTATCTCTGTTCGTTCGTCGTCGTACGTCATTCGGCGGTCGTAAACATTTGAACATTTTTAGCTTCTTCTCTGGAACCACTGAACCAATTTCAAACAAATTTGAAATAACCCACCTATGGGTAAAAGAGGAACACAAAATTGTGAATTTCAGGGTCCCTGGGGCCTGATGGGTGGGACCAAAACCACTAAAATTAATGCAGTCTTTAAAATTCTTTACTTCTAGATATCAAGCAGTGAAACTGCTGGAATGATTGTAATAAGCATTGAATCCTCTACACTGTACCAAAATAGTACAATTCTTTGCCCCAGGGTCAGGGGATCTATATGCAAGGGCTGGGCTAAACAGATTATATAGTGAAAATACACTATTTCTTTGAAAATCTTCTCTGCTTCTGGGTAAAATTAATTAAGTACATAGTTACGATGAGAAAGAATTCCTGTTCTTCAGTAGTGAATTTCATGGCCTTTGGACAGGGGTTCTGGTGTTAGGACGGGGCTTAAATGATTATATAGTTAACATGCATTAATTCTTTGAAAAATACATAGTTATGATGAGGAAGGGTGCCTCATCTAAAAATGTGAACTTCATGGCCTCAGGGTCAGGAGTTAGGGTGCAGGGCTCTTTTGATTATATAGTAAACATGCAATTTTAAAATGGAGAATCTTCTTCTCTGTCCCTTGGTATTAAACAACTAACTACATGTGTAGTTAAAATGAGGAAGAGTGCCTCTTTGAAAATTGTGAATTTCATGGCCAAAGGATCAGGTTGTGAATTTCATGGCGCAAGGACCAGGATTTCTGGTGTTACTTAGGGTGGGGCTCTAATCATCAAATGGTGAAATTGCAATAAATCTTTGATAATTAATCTTCTTCTTTGCTCCCAGGTATTTAACAAACTGACTACAGACATATAGTTATGATATAGCTATGATCGTACTTCCAGAACTGTGAATTCCAAGCACCCCGGAACAGGGGTATCATGGAGGGCTGGGGTTGGGTGGGTGTCTTTGACTATATACTAAAAATGAATTATTTCTTTGAAATCTACTCCTTGATGTTAATCAAACATTTATGATGAGCAAGAATTGTGAAATGTGTGGACCTGAGGGTCAGGGGTTCTAGTGGGGTGGGGGCACTACTGAGTAATGCTGAATATTACTTAGAGTGGTTGAAAGGCATTTTTTTATTCCCCTACTCTGTCTATGGTTATAAAGTTACCAAACTACATAGGCGTCGGAACCGGGGGGGGGGGGGGGGTAGGGGCTTAGCCTTTTCCTAGTATAGACATTGAACATTGCTGCATAGGTTTAGCCCCCCCACTTTCCACAGACATGTTGCAGAATAGGTTTAAAATTAGGAATTCAAAGTTGTGCTGTTTGTTGGAAAAAATTTGGTACTGAATATCGAACCTAACACCCCCCCCCCATGTCATGGCCTTTGGTTTAAAACATTACCCAAAGTCAATTGCAAAACTCATTATTTTGGATATCAATGATTTATTCATGATTTATTCTGTAATATTTTTCATGAGTTAAGTCTTAAATCCCAGTTACTTTCATTGCAGAAAAGTACTGCTTGAAAAATGTCAGAGATGAAAACTTTAAAATATCGGAAATGAAAACAGTTCCGGAAATAAAATGCAGCCATTGAAACCATGCACTGTGAGTGTCTTGCATCTAATCCACAATATCGTACAAGTTACATTAAAACATTATCTATGGAAAACATCCTTAATTTGGTATCGTATGATTTTTGCCCGTTCACACATACAAGAAATTTTGCCCCGTTTTAAATTCGCCCAGTCACAGTTCTGTTTAAGAATTTATATAGTGTTTTTTGAACTCGCCCCATTTTAAATTCACTCACATGTAGTTGTTGCCAGGACAACAGTTGAAGGAACATTTCATATATTTTTTTCAGCACTCTCCACAAATACAATCATCAACACATTAATTTAATATTCATTTCCATGACGAACACTGATCCAAAAGTCAAATCTCTTTACAGGAGGCATAGGGTACATTGGTTGCCATGCACTGGGAATCGTTGCCATGTGTTGATTAAAGACGAAAAAAAAACAAAATTAAGATTCACCAACATTTCATTGTCAATTTTGCTCAACCGGATTTTTCTGACTTATTTCAAATAAGACTTAATAAGATTACACGAATACACGCCAAAAATCACCTTTCTTTGCCTTGTTGCTATGGAGAACCTGCCGTTGCTATGGAGATAAAGAATTATACAATATTCAATAATGTGCTAGGGAGACCGAATTTAATTATACTATTCAAAAATTTGTATCTTGTTTATCATAAATAACCGTTCATTTGATTTTTCGTAAACTTGTACATTGTTTCTCATTTTATGCATCAAAAAGCCCATTTTTGTTGCTAGGCAACGGATTCGATTTTCAAAAGAGCACATGGATTTGACTTCAAATTCTAAAAGAGAAATACCTCTGCTTTTATGCGAGATACATGCAACAACTGTATTAATCTGGTCATTTTTAAAATTTGGCCTTGAATATTGCCAAGATCACGAAAAATGCTGAATCAGCAAAACTTGTAAAACATAGGTACCTTCCAATGTCTACCATAGAACTGACTTAAGACCTAAATATTCTTTATTACATTATTAGAACACAATAAATGTGTATCTTTATTACACTCATAAGTAAGAATAATTCTCATGGTATTTACGTGTTATTTTAAGCCTCAAATATAGGTGATTTTTTGTCCTTCAACACTGAAAAATCCGCCCGTTGCTAAGGAAATTTCTTTGGCCAGGTTTCCATGGTTACCATGACTTAAAACATTTTTCATTTTACATACATTGTTCATACTTCAAAATAAATCTATGAGTGGAAAATCATCAAATTCTGAAAACCTTCATGTATAACTTTTTTACAGTTTTGTCTGATTTTTATGTGGACTGGTACTTAAGTTCTGAAACTTTGAAAATATGCGTTGTAAGGTATCTTTCATGATGCTTGATTTCAGGAAGTTAACCTGAAAAAATGCCATCTTTTTAACATGAAAATCAGTAGAACAGATGAGAAATACTTCTATTACTTTGCGCCTTAGTGTCGTATTAATGTACAGAAAATACAGAAGTTACATGAACTGCACTGTTTCTGTATTAGGTAAGGTAAAAGTATGCTTTGAAATGAACGGATACAAAGACGGTTGCATTTGACGAGAAAACATGGAAAAACCATTTGGAAACTTTCATAATATATCATCCAAGAGCATATTATAAAGCTACCAATAATTAAGCATTGAATTCATATTTTGGGATGTCTTCGGTCCTCTAAAACACCTGGCCGTGCCGACAAATTGAATACCGCGCATTAGCGCGGTGTTATACTTTGTCGGCACGGCCAGGTGTGTTAGAGGACCGAAGACATCCTAAAATATGAATTCTATGCTTATATTTACATTCTTTAATTTTCCTCTATATAATTGTTATTTCGATAATCTTTAATGTGAATTTAGCGCCCCTCAAAACTGATGTGCTATATAGACGTAAGAGCCGTTTGTGACGTTGTAAAGTTAAATAACGCAAATGAACATTGCGAGGTAAAAAAAGTGACAAACTAATTTTAAATGCACATTTGTTGTTTTTTTCGTTAATTCAGCAGGGTTAAATTTTTTTTTATTAAATTGTGTCAAACACTGTACATTTTGGTGAACACAAAGTATTGAAAATGCATATAGTTCCTACTGTGTATTCTAACGCGCGGTGACAAGGTTTCGCGTGTGTTATAGAGATTTGAACGTCATGGATTTCTAATGGATTTCATAAAGAAAATTACACTGAATGTAAATATTTATGTATGAATTAAGTTTAAATTAATGGAATATGATCAAAATTAAGTGATAAATCATTTTTAAAATCTATTTCGTTGTCACGTTACACAATTTTGCATTGTAACAATGTGACCTTAATTTGTGCGAAAAACCATGTGAGTTTAAAAAGTGCGTTGAGTTGTATGTTGTATTTTGTCTCATTCAGGAATTTTTCATTCATGAAGAGATGTCACCATATACCGGTGATGGGTTCAAATTTTGACCTCTAACCGGCACTCAGGGCCAATGAGCAGTTAGAGCTTTTTATCTTGCCAATGCCTACAGTGACACAGAACCTAGGTGTTTAATGTCTCATCCGCAGGATCTGCAACTATAACATCAAGTGCCGAGCGCATGGCGAAGGAACAATTGCTAATCATTTCTTTATCGACTCACGACCTCCCGATCACAGAGATAGCACTCTACCGACTGAGCTACCGTGAACGGTCTGGTTTTGTACATGAAGAAAAAAACTGAGAAAAGTTATAATCATGACAGACAGACAAATTTCAACCACCCCTTGACTTAGTTGAGCTAATAATGTACAAATAATAAAAAAAAAACAACCACCTGTTGGATTTTTAAACAGAACAACACAGTATCCGTCTTCTGGATGGTAATCCATCTCCTCCACTTCTCCACCTCCACTCCTTCTCTTGTTACAGAAGAAATTCTCCACCGCGTTATACGTGATGCATTCATCAATGTCTTGAGCATACACGGATCTGCATTTCTCTACCATTCGTATAAACAATGACTTGCCATGGAGTTTTCTGGAATTGCAGCGTTTTGACATCTTGGAAAAATCTTATATGAAAAGAAGAAAAACATTGCAATAGGAGATTCAAGTACCTATAAAAAGTCTCAAGGCAATGATAATTCTATTTACCTGGTTTTTCATCAAACAATACTATCACTGTTTCAGATTTCGATCCTCGTACCACCTCTATCGGATCCACTCCAGCAGCTGGCTCCAAAAAATTCATCAGTGTGTCGTCAGTTGTCTCTGGGTGGAGGTTTGTAACTAGAACTTTGTTCATCTCCCACATTTCAGGGTCATTTTCATCGTATTTTTCTACTGTTAAAGTCTGTCCAATTATTGTATGTCTTCTCTCCAAGCAGGACTTGGCATCTGATGAAATAAATAAACGATATCTTTTGCAATGTATTTAAGGGGTAACGACCCTCCGAAAAGAGAGATAACTTTCAAAGTACAAAAAAAGAATACCACTCATAGTTTTCTTAATAAGAGTGTCCTAATTGAAACCCATGAGTATTCAATTCATTGAAATTTAACATGTGATGGACACATTACCTTCTATTTCTTTTTCGAATTGTTTCCAAATTATATTTTACCAAAAAGGACAATTTTAAAAAAAATGGTCCAATTTTTCAAGTAACAAATACTAGATTTATTGTGTTCAAAATTGAAGGCAAGCTTACATAAGGAACAATTTAATTACCACTAGATTGTCTAAATGTGATCAAAGCTTCTACAATTTGTTCGTCCTCTTCCATCATGATTTTAATGAACTGAATATCACCTCCTCCGGACTTCCTTGTATTCTCGAAATAGTTCTCTATAGCATCCTGTGACATTGGCTTACTTAATCTTACTCTGACTGTGTCAAATGATGTTCCTAAATACAACAAAATTAATTTTTAAACCCACTTCCTTTTAAACAAAGTAAACAAATTGCCTTAGCAGTTAGGCATGAAGAGGTTGGTACAAAAAGCAGTGATTGTAGACCAAGAAATCGTTTCCAACACTGATCAGAATCACTTAATTATTAATTAGTTAAAAACATGGAAATAAAATACAAATTCCATTATGATTTCATATCATTATTTCCATTTTCTAAATCAATATAAATATTTTAATATGACAAATCTTAATGAAATCTTATTGTGAAAGAAAATTTGTTTTGGTAATTTTCTAGTAAGAAACTAAAAATAATGCTTAACTACAATATTGTAATTACATGCATTTTAAATGGCAGATTGGCATTATACCTTCATCAGTTTCCTCCTCCTCCTCAGGTAGGCCAGGTGTCCTTTCCTCTGATCTACCTTGGGAGGGTATCTCTGTGCTCTCTACATTCACTTTACACCTCCTCTCTGGCGGTTGTTTCTCCCTCTCTGTGGAAGAGGGAGGTAACTCTGGTTCTTGCATGGCAATTCTCTCTATAATGGGTAAAGTAATGTTTTATAACAGTCAATTGGTAATGCTATACATTTCTCCTTTAGATTTACTCATAGAAGATTTAAATGAAATGGAGTTGGCAAAAAAATAAATTTACATTACCTATTTTGATGCTTTTATGTTGATGATCAATCATGGCTTAGTTGTTTTTGTGAAGAATTTTAACTATTTTTACCATTTATTCTTACGTAAAACCTATATCTCCCATTAAACATCTTGGTCCCCGCCTCCTAATCATAATTTGAATAAAATTAAAGTACACTACCCTTTTCATGCTTCCATATTACTACGACCAATGATGGTTTTGCTGTTTTTAAGAAAAAAAATTAGAGATTTTTTCCTTGCAATTCTACTTTGATCACTCATTATAGCCCCAACCATACCCCGGATGTCATGATTTGAACAAACTTCAATCTAAACTACATGAGGAATCTTCGATCCACATGAATTTCATCTTTCCTGGTCCAATGGTACTTGAAAAGAGTTTTAAAGATTGTTCCTATGTATTCCTTTGTTAAACTTTGATACCCCATTGTGGCCCTACTCTACCCCCGGGGGTCATAATTTGAAGAAACTTAAATCTTCGTTTCATGAGGATAATTCCACATGAGTTTCATCTTTCCTGGCCCTGTGGTTCTGGAGAAGAAGATTTTTAAAAAGATTTTTACTATATATTCCTATGTTATTATTTGATAACCCATTGTGGCCCCACCCTACCCCCGGGGTTTATGATTAGAAGAAACTTAAATTTTTACTACATGAGGATGATTACACATGAGTTTCATCTTTCCTGGCACCGTGGTTCTGGAGAAAGGTATTTTTGAAGATTTTTCCTATGTGTTTATATGTTAAACTTTGATATCCCATTGTGGCCCCACCCTACCCCCAGAGGTCATGATTTCACGAAACTTAAACCTTCGCTACAAGCTGATGATTCCACATAAAATGATGATGAATAATTACTTCTAAGTTAGAAAATGGCGAACAACTCTGAAGGCTATGATGAGAAATGTTTTAATATATATATCTACCTTTTTGATTCTTTGCGAGAAACTTCCTTACTTCCTTTGTTTTAAAACCTTCATTTATCCCTTGAAATATGCTTTTAGATTTTGTATTTATCAAATATTCATGCATTTTAATTATGGCTTCATTCACGTCGTTGGGCTTTCCTGTAAAGTTTACTCCTTTTTTACCAATCTTTATTTCCACATCTGGAAAATCATTAATCATTCTTTGATAATCTGTATTCAAAAGTTGCTGGCATTTGTGAAAATCTAAAGGAACATTTTTCTCAATTTTCTCTTTCTGAGTTTTTATTTTCAATTCCTCTGCTTTCACAATATCTAGGATTTTTCGTGTCAGAGCCTCTGTATTTTCCTCTAATCCAACTACAACAACTACATGTTGTTTGGCTTCTAATGAAACAGCTACTTTTTCCGGGTGATCAATATTTAGCATGTTTAACTTGTCCAGAAAATTCCCCCAAGATTCAGGTGAAATCGAGTGTTTTTGGACTGAATACTTGCCCACCAAGCTTTTCATGCTTTTCTCGGCTTCTTCTTTCCATTTTTTTAGATTACCTCTAGCATTTTCCACCTCTTTGGTTACTGAGCAAAGCAGTTTCACATTAAAATCTGATTTTGATTTCGGCCATTCAACTTTTACAAACTTCTGCTGCATTGTATTGTCAATTTCCTTGGCTACCACCTCACAATTCTTGACAAACTTTATAAAGTGTTTTTCACATGGAAAGATAATGGAGGGCAAGTCTGCCCAATTAATTGGTTGCTCTGGCAAACCTAGTTGAGAATACAACATTTGTACTTTTATTTCTTTTCCATTCATTGTAAATTTCTCTCTTGATGCCACATTCTCAGCATCTGTAAAAATCAGAAATGAATTCATTTAAATCCAATAAATATACTTGTCATTCACTATAAAAAGACCTCTTTGCCACAATGCTCATTAAAGTTAACTTGGCCATGTTATTATTCAGAATAACTAATAATGCAATAATTAAAGAACAAGCAAGCACCTTCTGGATTTTCAAACAGGACCACACAGTATCCGTCTTCTGGATGGTAATCCAACTCCTCCACCTCGCCACCTCCACTCCTTTTCTTGTTACAGAAGAAATTCTCCACTGTGTCATACGTGAAGCTTTCATCAATGTCTTGAGCATACACTGATCTACATTTCTCCACCATTTGTATGAACAATGACTTGCCATTGAGTTTTCTAGAATTGCAGCGTTTTGACATCTTGGAAAAATCTGATATGAAAAGGGGAAAAATCATTGCAATAGGAGATTCAAAGACCTATAAAAAGTAACAAGACAATGATAATTCTATTTACCTGGTTTCTCCTCAAACACTACAATCACTGTATCAGGTTTTGACCCTCGGACCACCTCTATTGGATCCACTCCAGCAGCTGGCTCCAAATAATTCATCAGTGTGTCATCAGTTGTCCCTGGGAAGAGGTTTTTCACCAGCACTTTATTCATCTCCCACATTTCAGGGTCGTTTAAATCATATTTTTCCACTGTTAAATTATGTCCACCTATTTTATGCCTCCTCTGTAAGCAGGACTTGGCATCTGATGAAATAATAAAATTCAATGAGAATGGGTTTCCATTTTTAGCAATATTTTGTAAAGTGAGACGGGGGGGGGGTTTACCTTTGACCTAAAAAACAATTAACATGTTCTTAATTATTCCTCATGCCATTTCATTTCAAAGAAAAACTAAATGTATCAACTGGGGAATTAATGGAAATTAACCTAACATGTAACTTTTGACCTACTGACCTCAAAATTAACAAGGGCTTTATATAAGTAATTTGAAAAGGAAGATTCATCATACAAGTACCAATTTTATCATATTCCAAATTGCATGCAAGCATGTGTCAGGGATAATGTAATTTTTTAAGTATAAACCACATTATTTAATTAGAATAAGTACCTGATTGGTGTCTAATACACAAAAAAATGCATTTCCTTTTACAAAAGTAAAAAAATGTCAGTATAATTATTTACATAAATAGAATTACCACTGGATTGTCTGAATGTGATCAAAGCTTCTAGTATTTGTTCATCCTCTTCCTTGATGACTTCAAATGACTCAATATCTCCTCCCCCAGACTTTCTCCTGTTCTCAAAATAGTTTTCTATGGCACCCTGTGACAGTGGCTTCCTTAATCTTACTCTCACTGTGTCAAATGATGTTTCTAAAGAACAGAAGTAAGAAAAGCATAGGTAATATGAGGTTACAGAGCTCACTTCAACGAATGGTGTCTTTAAGTAAGACAAAGTCCAAATTTACTTAATGATCTAGTACTGTACATCCAAAGATGCAACATATATTCCGTGGGAATAGACTTGCAGTTACTTGGGAATACTAGTAGACTTATCCAAAACTTCAAACTAGTCACTTATCCAAAAGTGTGACTTGGAAATGGGACCTGTAACATAAACTTTAACCTGATTATTGATCCGGAAAATGTAGGTCAGATCCAACATCTGAAGGAAACCTGGTAATATTCACCTTAGATGTATCATCCATGCAAGTTTACTCCCCATAAGGCTCATAGTTACTCAGAGAGTAGGTCTGAATTAAATACTTTAACCTGTTTACTCAACTAGAAAATGTAAACCAGATCCAGCATCCGAAGCAAGCTTGGTAGTCAGTTATAGTGCATTCCTAGATGTATTATCAATTCAAGTTTGGTCAGCATAGGGCTCATACCTACTTAAAGATGGGACATGCCTCAAAAAAATTATCCTGCATCAAAAACTTTAACCTGGTCCAAAAAAATTATTTTGGTCATTGCTTTGCTGAAATTGCAGCCTCGATCCATTTCTAACTTATGTAGGGCATAGAACTTCTCAAAAGGAAACTGCTTTAAAGCTCTAACCTGGGACGCCGACGCGTAGGGTATCACATAAGCTTCTCCAACTTCGTTGAGGGGAGCTAAAAATATTTCCTTTCTAACAAAAGTATCAAATTCTTTTGTATAGAGATGTTGATGAAGTAACAGAGATTTGAACAGATCATTTTCAACATTGAATGACTTATCAATTTGATGAGAAGTTTTCGCATTGGCTAGCGAAGATGGATAAAGATATGGAAATTAAAAGGAACAATATACCCTCATCAGTTTCTTCTTCTTCGTGTCCATGTGTCCTTTCCTCTGATCTACCTACAGAGGGTCTTGGACTCTCTGTGCATAGTTTCTCCTTTTTTACATAACTCTCCCTCCTTTGCTGTTTCTCCAAATCTGTGGAAGGTAATGGTGACTTGAGTTCAGGCAAGGGAATTCTTTCTATCACAGGCACATTGTAAAATAATGTTAAATAGTAATAGTTCCATTTCTTTTTGTTTTCTCTGGGATAATTTCTTCGAAAGTTAGTTCAATTGATGTTTTATCATTCCATCGGAATGAAAATTTCGCCAAGCAATAAACCAGGAGCTAAGGAGGCCTAAGATGCATGTAAATCTCGTGCGTTTGTATTAGCGTCTTGCGCAAAAGAGGCCTTACATGCTTGTAAATCTTGTGTGACTGTCCTTGCATTTAGCATCAGTGAGCGGGGATTATTGAATTGACATGGAGGGCCTCATGTAATTTAAATCTATTAGTCTATTTTTTTTAAATCTAAATTTTACAATTTTTTCACATTGCAATGGAAAGAATAACGCAATTAACGTTAGTTGGAAACATGTGATAATCTATGCATCACGGTCAAATGCCCTCTGGCGTACTCTACAAACTAGACAGTAATTCCGTTAATAATTTTGTACATAATTCACCTCTCATTTATATTTGTCTTCAGAAGCTAGCTAAAAAAATATTGTACAATCAATACCTTAAGGTTTATTTATTTGTTCCCTTTTTAAATATTGAGACATAATAAGCGTAAAAGAAGAAAATATTATACTATAAGATAAGCTTTTCGCCTATGTGATGAATTGGTCTGAGCATCTGCTCTAGAGTCGCGGAGGTTAAGAGCTGATCCTTACGTTGTGGGTACGAAACCACAGCTGAAGTTAGAGAGTGCCGAGTATATGTATAAATTTGCAACCCTGAGTCGGCCAATGGCATTGTGTCTATTAGTGAAAAATTCTCCTGAGGGACCGAAGTTGTATAACAAACAAGAAAAAATACAATAAATTCAATAGGATCCTATGACACTGGCTTCCTAATTCTTACTCTTACTGAATCAAATGATGTTTTCTAAACAAACTTCGAGATGCAGATTTAACCCTTTACATACGAGGGTAGTATAGTCATAAAATCTAATTTTATAAAAGACGGTATGCAGAAAGCCCTCAATGGTATTGATAAATGCAGAATTTAATAGCTTAAAGCGACATGGACACAGTTTCAACAAAAAAAAAATCATTTTTTTCTATTTTGAAAAATATATTTACAAATACTTAACAAAGATATTTTTATGATCATCCAAAATTTGAATTTCAGGTGTCGAGAAATAAGAAATATATAGTGCTCCAAATCTTTGTTATGCTAACAAGACTCGTACAATGCTTTTGTTGACATAGGTTAAATACAATACACGTGTATGTTCGTTAAATCAGAATTTTTAAATAAAGAAGTTAATTTTGAATATATTCAGACATTTTTAGTAAATTGCTGAATCTTGTTTTTTAATAATTATGATATTTTCTATATGTAAACAAAAACATGAGAAAAATAAGTTCTGTATCTCCTTTTAAAATCAACAGATGATGTTTAAAGTTTTGCTGATTATTATACATTCCTTCGTTAGGTATTATAAATATTAAAATTGGGTTTTTTTAAAAAAAAAAAAAAACAAGTTTAAACTGTATCCCTTTCAGTCAAAAAGTGAAAAGTCAAATGTTAACTGAGATTTTAATACTGATTGTTAGGACATAGATTTCATACTGAATTGTCTACAGAATCATTCGTTTTTCCCGATCACGACAAGGAGCAGATGGGTGATCTTATGGCAGGAGATATTCACTCCTCCATGGCACCTGATCTCATCTCTGATATTTTTTGGAAGTTTGTGTTTACTCTGCTCCTGACTTGTATTCTTTGAACGGAATTCGAGATTGAATGTTGTTTACTTACTACATATTTTGTTTTTTACTTACAAGTTTTCCTGTTCATTAAAATTATGAAGTAAATTTTTCTTATAAAGTAAAATTTATTGCATTTCCCCCCTTTTTACATTTCAAATACATCATTTACAGTGATTTTATATTTAAGATAAATGGCATGGAGAAAGACTTTTCTAAGTAGAATTTGAATAAAGATCTGGCAGGCACCACAACATATGGCAACATTGTCTCAAAACTTTAAAAATCTATAAAAAGAAATCCTTGTTTACTAAAACTTTGTTCTTTTATTCTAAATCAACCCGGACGATAAGATACTGGAAAAGATTTTCGAAGAAGTAATGCATCTTCGCTATATATCCAATACAGCTCTTAATGAATAGTAAAATCCGTGAATAAGAGTCATATAATTATCCACTAAATGAATCAAAAGAAAAAGTAAAAAAAAATCGAACAAAAAATATGAAATAATTGATAATGAAGAATTATTTTTGAGTAACTATACCTAGCATTGCACATACTTACCTTTTATTTCTTCCCTTTGGAAATTTTCTGCAGACAACACCGCCACTTGTGCCACAGTACTA